TGCCTTGTCCACAAACTTCAGAAGCACTAGCTTTTTAATGTTTTAGTGGATTACATGATGGATTGGAATTTTGATAGGAAGTTGTCAACAATGATAGTTGATAATTGCTCTACTAATAATTTTCTCGTTGAGATTATCTTGAGTAAGCTTAACATTAGTGCACTTATGTTAGATGGAAAATTGTTTTACATGTGTTGTTGTGCTCATATTTTCAATTTGATTGTCCAAGATGGTTTGGGGATCATTGGAAAAGGCATAGAAAGGGTTATAAATAGTGTGCTTTTTGGGTAGCATCACTCAAAAGAGAACAAGCTTTTAGAGAAGTAGCATGTCAATTGCAAATATCACGTTAAAAAAATTGGTTCTTGATTGTAAGATCCGATGGAACTCGACATACTTGATGCTTAGTGTTGCTTTAATTTATAAAGATGTGTTTCATCCGTTGAAACAATGAGAGCCTTTGTATAAATGTTTGCTAATTGAAAATGATTGGGATTTAGCTAAAGAGATTTGTAAGAGGTTGCGAGTATTTTATAATGTGATTGAAATATTTTTAGGACTAAATATTCAACGACAAACAAATTCTTTCCATTTATTCGTGAGATTAAACTTTCATTATCTTAGTGGTTCTCATGTTCTAATGAGATTATTAGAACAATGGCATAAAGTATATTGGCTAAATTTGACAAGTATTAGTGCATCATTCATGGAGTAATGGTTGTAGCATGTGTTTTGGATCCAAGGTTCAGTTGAAGTTATTAGAGTATTTCTTTCATAAACTTTATGAATTTTTGCTTCATATGAAATTATGAGAATTCACAAACTTTGTTGTGATTTACTCCATAAATATCAATCAAGATCTAACTCTAACAAGAATATTCATCAATAGAAGGGAATTTCTTCATCTTCATTCCGTTGTTCAATAATGAATGATTCATAGATTCCAATTTTCTATGTAGGTATGGTTCATTCATTGATGATTCTGATAATATGAGGATGAAATTTGAGTTTGATCATTATTTAGAAGATAAAGTCTTGCCAAGAGATACAGATTTTGATATATTGGATTGGTGGAAGTCCAATGGAATCAAGTATCCAACACTGTAGAAGATTAGTAGGGACATTTTAGCTATTCCCATTTCAGTTGTGGCTTTCGAGTCCGCTTTCAATATCAGTGGTAGATTGGTGAATTCTCATTGTAGTAGACTTCATGTTGAAACTTTGGAAGCGTTAATGTGTGCTCAAAATTGGTTATTGAAGGAAGCACAAGGTATTGGAATTAATATTATAAAGTATTAACTTTCTTTGATGTATATCTAATTTGATGTAATTTTATTTTATTGTCTTTTATTTTTAGGTGTTCATTCAAAAGTTACAGTTGCATATTACCACACAATTGAATATAATTCAGATATTGATGAGGTAATAAATATGCTTTTTAATTTGATTATTGATGTTCATGAATTTCGTGATTCTTATTTATATTTGTAATCGATAATTACTTTAATTTTTGCAGGAAATTGTCTTGACAACAAGTCAATAAAGTTAGACTACTTGAATATTCAATGATGCCATTATAAACCAGGAATGATTTGTTTTGAAGTTAAACTTTTTTTTTAATTTAGTACATTTTACTTGATGGTGTTGAATGTTGGACAAATTTTAACTTCAATGTTATCTTGGTGACTTACTCCCTTTTTAGTCAGTTGTTTTTACTGATTTAGGTATGTTAATGGATTGCATATGTGCAATCTTTTTACTAGTTTCAGGTATGTGTTGTAACCATGTAGTATTATTCAAAAATTAGAATTTAAAATTTTTTAAACTTCATTTGTTAGTTGACTTAGTCAAGTTGGGAAAGAAGCCAAACGACTTGAATAATGGATTGCATATATCTAGTGACGTTTTCAGGTTGAATACTATATTGTTTGTTTTAGATCCAAAATATTAATGATAGATTGACAAGGTTCAATGGAAAAGAGTAACAAGGCTAAGTGGAAATATAATGAAGATGTCAAAGTCCTTCACTAAAAGGAAGGATGCTGAAGCAATCAGCTTGGCAGTTAAGTCTTTAAGAAAGGAGGCAAGGGCTTGGTTTTATGAAAAAATTGAGTCAGGTACCGAAGTTGAAAATGTGGATATATTCCTAGTAAGTTTTCCTAAAACCATTTATATATGTAGATGAGTTTGCTTGAAGAAAACAATTTAATTTAGCTAGCAATTGTTACCGATTGATATTGGTACTTTGTCCTGAGTTGATAAGTTAATATCATGCATATATATATATGTATGTATGCATATTTTATAGCTTGCAAATTTCAAAATAACATTTACGGGAAGATACAGACTATATCATACAGTAATACACCTAATGGAGCATTAACTGATTCATAATATGTTAGAAATTTATGATTGGAATTATGCAATGGATTCAATAATTGGAAAAAGATAAAAATTCAATGGTTGTAATGTTATATGGTTATGTAGTTGAGTCAGGTACCAAAGTTGAAGATGCAGAATTTATGATTGGAATTTAGCTGACAAGGATTGTGACACTTACATATGGCCAGTCTGCGTGCTATTGGTATAAGTCTAAAAGAATCTATTAATGGGTTTCAACGGTTCACCTGTCCACTATCCATGACAGTTAATTGTATGAAGAGTTTAGCAGTCCAGTTAGTTGACCTATAAAATGATTTTGATAGTAATTGGTAACAAAGTAAAAGAAAACCTATAAAATAGAGTTTAAAAAAATGACTCGTGTAATATTGTCAAAAGCAACTGGGGATCTGGGTCTTCGACGAGAAACTCATCCCCAATGAGGTCGGGGATGGATGAGCATTTCTTTCCCTGATGGGGATGGGGGATGATTTGGAAATCGGGGTCAAGGATGGAGAATGTAATCCCCACCTCGAACTCGCCCCATTGCCATTCCTACTTATGTCTAGCATTAACTCATTATGCATTATGGTGAATCCCCTTGCATGGTGCTTGTTATGACCTCCACCAGAGTCCATAGGAAACAAGTGTCAACACTGCAACTTTACCAAAGCAAAGCAAAGTTTAGAACCATCATGGAGTATGCACCATAGAAGACCCCCCACCCACCCCCCTTGACATTGCCTTGGCCACAAAGCACTAGTCAATTTGAAATGCCAATATGAAGCATCCACCTAGCAAGTTGCCCTCAACATTCCAACTGTTGTAGTCACTTAGCTTTCCATTAACAATCAAGCCCAACAGAAGACCCAAGGGCAAGGTTGACTCTAGCAACCACCATGCCTACTATCATGCTAATTGGGGAGAGCGAGTGTAGCCCAAATCAAGGTGGGACCACTTCATTCATTGCCTTGAACCAACCATCTTAGCAACATTGTGAGGAGCCACACTTAAGGAAAACCTTTTGGGAACCAACACCCCAACAATTCATAATCTAGGATCCTCTTTTGTTCCAAACCAAGACTCAAATTGCCTTCAATTAAAAACATTCCAATGTCTTACCTTCAAGCTGTGCATAAAACAATTAATCCAAACTTTAGCTATAGGACACCCCAAACCATCAACAATCCTCAAGCCTACCACCTAAGCCTTGGGAAATTCGATGTTCGTGGAGCAGTAGCAGAATCCTCTCACCGGCAAAGCAATTGATCAACTTGAAGTCAATCTCTAAGGACATTGATTGAATTGAGTGGGGGGATTGTCACAATTGAAGCCATCAATCACACCATTGACATGCCAACCAAGTGTCTTTGTGTGTGTCTTGGGTGGGCTATATATGTATATTGTATGTAGGGGATTGCCAACGGTGGCATTGTAATTATCACTACGAATTTTCGACACTCTTGATGTTTCACTCTGTCACTCCCTCAAAAGTCTAAGTTATTCTTTGAGGGGAGGTAGATAGTTGGGTGGAACTAATAACGTGTAAAATTTAAGCATGAGGTCCCTTCAACATGAACTTGTATGCTTGTGCTTGTCATTTCAATTGCAATATAAAGTGTTTTTTGACTAATTTATATCACATTGTTGTTGCCTTTGTTGTTTATCATTTTGTTTCATAGGCTTTTTCGACATAATCAAGCATTGCATAAGGCTTAAACTTTTAGCCCCATGACAATATGGTCATTATTTCGTGACATTTAAAAAAACTAACGATAAAAAAACAATTAAAATAAAACTAGCCTAAAAATATGTTCGAGTCAAGTGGGTTGATTATTTGACGACCTAGACATTGATCAATTTAATGGTTTTTGAAAAAATAATGGTTTAGAGTTGAGACAGATCTAATACCTTGATTGTTTTTTGGGCCAAACAGTCTAACCATCCAAGCGAACAACAATGTTAAATTGCCATCACACCCTTTGAAAGAGGCATTTATTGGGTAATACGCGAGAGTTCACTTTTGTTATGAGTAAAACAAAAAATCATGGCCTGGGGTCTGCTCATCACTGAGAGCCTCTCACACAGACCCAAAACAACCACATCCCACCTTATATTGGAATTTGGAATATCTCCCAATGAATAATGAATACAAGTCACTTCATCTAATTTAAGGTGCGACTATTGAGGCTCTGGACTTCTTGAATCTACTATAGAGGCCCCACCAAGAAGTAATTTCATCTAATTTAGGCTATGTTTGGTTTGAAGGAAAAGGTATGGAAAGGCAGGGAAAGACAGAAAAACCAATACAAGGGTTGTAAAGGTTTTCCTACATTTTCCTTCTGACCAAACATAACCTTAAGATGGGGGCATGGTAATAAATCAAAGGCTTTGATTTCCTTGTTTTAGGCTTTCAGCTGAGGGCTAGGACACTATCGTAGCAAATGTGGGTTGAATATGGATGTGGCCATGTGGACGAGTACTGGGTAGCTCTCTCGTTTAACCATGCTAAAGCTCAAATCCTCATTCCAGATTTTTTTAGGCAAAAAGAAATGACATGGCAATTGTTTTGTCCACGTTGGACATTGGGTGACTCACCCGCGGTGGATGCTTTTCCTTTTGGGAAGCACTATTATTTTCTTCAAGGAATCAATCAAAGGTCCGAATTTCTTCCCACTACAGAGTAAGGAGCTCTCGGTGCTTCTTCTCCACATCCTCCTTCCTCGTCACCACCTCTCCGGTCATCACCAGCACCACATAAACAAGTGACAACCTCCATGCATTCTCCATCGCTCGCTTAATCCAATTCAAACCCTAACAAAGAAAGGATAAAAGCGAGAAATGCTAGTTGAAGAACCCGGCGTCGTATCAGACATCTGAAACCACAGTCATACCATACCATGCCCTACTCCGCTTTTCTGCGGGGCTGCCTCAGAAACGGTCTTCGCCTGACCATGTCTCTGAGACCAACGGCTCTGCATTTCACAATCCGTTCTTATCCAAGAAAGCCTACGACTTTCAGAACCACACTCTTTGCCGCCATGAAACACCGAGCCCTAGCCTACGGTACTGTATGCGTTCCTCAACGCCTGAGCTCTGTCATAACATGCTCCATTTCTCCCGTAGTCTTCACTGGCTCTCTCGACTTCGATTGGCGGGAGGATCAAGGTATCGTCTTGAACCCCAGGAGCACTCCTTTCCCTTACTTTCAGACGCAGCAGCTGCAACAGAACATGCAGTATGGTAGGTATGCTTATGATGATTACTCGGAGGATGACTCTGACCAGGACGTCCAGTCGACTTCGTCGCAAAAGGTAAGGCTTTTCAATTGCTTTACTTGAGGGATTTTAGGATGCAAATTTGATTGAAATTCTCTCAGCTTAGTAAAGTAGAGATGCACTTTCTTTTGCAAGCGATGTCGTGGAATCCGCGTCGAGAACAAAGAACTGAAGAACTGATAATTCACCTTTGTTATAAAGTGAAACAGAAACTATACCAAATAGCAGTTCTGCCACGGTCATTCAAAATGTTCAATTCATTTCAGATGCCTCCCCCATTGGGTTTAATGGTTTAATGCCTTCCTACCTTCATCCGGCATTCTTCTGTAGATTGGGGAAGAATAGGCCTAAGATGTCAATATCTCTCAATGATGAGAAGGAAAGAGTCGTGGTTGAAAGTTGAAATGACTAAGATTCCCCGATCGTCTTGATTAGGGTTGTTTATGTGTGCTAATAGTAGGAGGACCAGAGGACTTCGATGGGTCTTGACACCCCCCCCAATCCTAACAATTTTTGACATGAGAATTGTAAACTTGTAATGAGAGTTCGGCAAGAGATTTAATGCCGGCTTCCAACCTGTCACAACCTTCACCTTTATTTGAGCTTGGGATCAGAAGTGTAATACAAGTTCACATTGGTGGAATGGAGTTGTTCTAGGGAAACGCTTAACTGCACAACATAGAATGATGGTGGTAAATCTGTGCATTAAAATATAAAAGGAGAAAAACTAGAACAATTTAGGGATATGCTGGTAGTAAAAGGAAAGTACCACAATTTAAACTGTGCCATTTTTGCAATTTGCGGATGGTACCATTATTTTCAGCAATCTAGATATGATGACCTGCTCTTTCTCTGATGTCTCTTCATTTGTTTTGAGGGCATTCTCTGGTTTGAAGATTAACCTGCAGAAAGAGTTAGCTGATTCTTGTTGAGGTTGTACCTCAAATATATGAGTTAGCTTCTACATCTCTACCCAGCGATGCTGGGTGGGTACTTTGCCAACGAAGTATATGAGCCTTCCTTAGGTGGCTGGCTACAACTCCATAGCCATTTGGGATCCTGTCATTGAGCATTTCAGACAAAAGCTCCTTAGATGGAAGCGGAGATATTTGTCAAAAAGGGGTAAGGTTACTCTTTTTCCGAGTGTTTTATCCAACCTTCCTACCTATTATCTAGCATTGTTCACAATCCCATCATTAGTTGCAGCTATACAGGAGAATCCGCATAGAGACTTCCTTGTGGGAAGGGCCAAATGAAGAGAAGGAGTTTCACTTGGTGGCATGGGATAAAATCTGTGAGCCTAGGGAGAAAGGTGGTGCAGGTTTGAGGAGCTAAAAATAATGAATAAAGTGTTACTCAGCATGTGGCTATGGTGTCTTGGGACAAAATAATCAGTTATGGAGGCAGGCGGTGGCCAGCAAATATGGCACTGCCCCTATGGTTTGGGAAACTACCATGCCTGTTCAATCTTATGGTTCTTCTGTATGGAAGGGATTAATGAATTTAAAGGAGGTTTTTTTGACAGGAACATACGGCTGAAACATGGGTACAGTGAGTATATTTTCTTTTGGAAGGAAAGTAGAATTTAGATGAAGAGGCTAATGATATGTGGCTTGAAATGGCTAATTGTATAAATAATGTAGGAAATAACACTTTAGGAGGATTTAAAAGAAAATGGCAAAGTGCTAGAGAAACTTGGTGGTGGAATAAAGAGGTTCAAAATATAATCAAAGTGAAACGAGCATTCTGTAAGGATTAGAAAAAGTCTAAAAATGTAGAGAATTTAGAAAAAAAATATAAAACCATAAGAAAGGAAATGAAAAAGAAAGTGATTGAAGCTAAATTTAAGTCATTTGATGAACTCTCATAAATTAGGCAGTAAAGAGGGAGAAAACGGAATATGTAAACTAGCAAAGACAAGAGAAAGGAAAAGCAGAAATTTAGAGCTTGTTAGATGCATTAAAGAGGATGGTCAAAGAGTCTTGATAAAAAGTTGAGTAAATCAAGGAAGATTGTTTTGAAAAATTACTAAGTGAAGAACATATGAAGGGTGCTAATCAGCGAAGGATTAATAACTCTAATAGTACAAAAAATAATGTGCTTTTTATAAAATTAGAATTTTTTGAGTGAAGGAGGCATTGATGGTATCCCAATAGAAGTGTAGAAAGTATGTGGGTGGTGGGCCTATTATAGCCAATTGAACTATTTAATAGGATAACAGAAGCAAAGAAGATGCTGAATGAACAAAGTAAGAGCACCATGTTGCCTATATTTAAAAACAACGGCAATATACAAAATTATAATAATTATTATAGGGTCAAACTTAGAATCACAATATGAAACTTTGGGAGAGAGCAATTGAGCAAAGGTTACAACATGAAACAAGTATATCAAAAAGTCAATTTGAGTTTATGCCAAGAAGACCAATCATGGAAGGCATCTTTCTATTTAAACAACTTATAGAAAAGTTCAGAGAGAAGAATAGAAAGATCATCACATGGTATTCGTTGACCCAAAGAAAGCATATGATAAAGTCTCTATAGAGATAACTAATCTTAAAACACTTGTAAAAGAGAAGAGACATTAAATTTTATAGTTACAGTGGGTCTTCACCAAGGCTCAACACTTGGTCTTTATTTATTTGCACTAGTCATGGATGAATTAACTAAACATATTTAAGAGGTCACATGGTGCTTGTTGTTTGTTGGTGACATAGCATAGTTTTCAATGCGTCTAGGCGATTCTGGGCAACACTGGGGTGCCTAGTCGCCTAGTTGCCTAGGCAGATAGGCGATACAAATTTATAATGTAAAAAAATAACTTTTGGTTAGTCCCCTAGTTTCATATACCATTCAGCTTGTATATTAAGTGAAAAATAGCCATTCTCTTTTATTTAGAACATTAAATTTCCTCTAAAAATGTGGAAAATCATCACGTCTAAATGATAAAAGTCTTTTACATGTATTAACGTTTTCTTAATATATTTTCTTTTTATTTATCTTCAAAAAAATTCATTATTTTCAAAAACAATACTACTATAATAAGTATTTAATAGAGAAATTTCATATAAATTAGCAGGTAAAGAAGGTTATTAACTTTATATGATAAATACTCGAGATGGAAAGTAAAATAGAAAAAACAAGGATGGGGTTTCTATTTAATTTAATTAGAGAGAGAGAATAGAAAAAAAACCTCTTTATAATTCTATTCTTTCTTTCCTCTTTGTTTCATTCATTCATTCATTTATTCTCTCTCCTCAAAACCCTTCAATCTTTTATGTTTCAATGGTAAACATTAAAAAAAAGTATATATATATAATAAAATGTATTAACACATAAATTAATATGATACAACAATATGAATAATGATATTATAAAAGGCGCCTGCCTTGTCATTTTTGTCGCCTAGACAGGCGCTTAGTCGCCTAGAAGGGTGCCTAGTTGCTAAAAGTCAAGATACCCTTGGGCGCCTAGTCGACTAGGTGATGCCTCGACAACTATGTGACATAGTATTATTAATTGATGATGTTTTGGGGACCATTGTAAATTTTGTAACTTTGTTGGGATTAGAATGAATCCTTATGAGTGGATACACCTTGTCATTGTAATATCTAGGTTCTCATTATAATATAATTTTCAAATTTCTTGCTGAAAAAAAATAATAATATTAATTGATGAAACTAATGAAGGATTAAATAAAAAGTCGGGTTTATGGACAAATACCTTTGAAAGAAGTGGTTTTAAAATAAGTAGAATTAAAATATAAAATATACAATGCTACTTTAATACTAACAGGTAACAGGAGTGCAAATCAAGGTACACATGACTAGGAGACTTGTGATTTAAGAGATGCACCTAGGTGCATAGGTGAGGCGCATTTTAGAGTCTGCACCTCGTCTAGGCCTAGGCGTAGTTGGGCCTAGGCCAAGTGATTGGGCCAATGTGCTTTTTGCCTCAGCCTAGGTGCATGCCTTTGTTATATCTTGTGCATTTTTTTGTGATTTTTGAAGCTCGGTGATTGGGCTGGGGGCTCTGCCTCCGGACCCTTGACTGATCTCCTTGAGGCAAGCCCAAAAAAGACCATGTTACGGCCTTAAATTCTTAATCCCTACAAAAAATGTTTTATAGTTTTAATTATCTTTTATTAGGAAGAATGAAAGAACAACATTAGCAAATAGTGGGGTTCTTGGATATGCAATTAAGAAAGAAATAAAGAAATTGAAAGTTTGACATACTTGAATATGTTTTATATGCTATTTTTGATTTTATTGTTTGCATTTTCATTTTGAATATGCTTTATATGTTATGGTTATGCATTTTAATTTGAGCTAATGAGCTTTTTTAAAATATTTAGTTTAAATTTAAATTTTATATTTTTAATTAATGTTAATTTTAATATTTTCTTAATTTATTTTGTCTTTTACATTTTCAAAATTTGCACTTTTTTGTTATTTTTATTTTAAATTTGATGCCTTGCTCCTCGGGCGCAAATGCTATTTGTTCTTTTTTTGTGCCTTGGGCTTTTAAAACACTATGCGAGACTAGGAGATAACTCAATGCAACCTCTTCCATTTATCTTGATTCAATAATCCAACACAAGGGAGAGATTGATGAGGATGTTTGCTATCAAATTAAAACATGATGAGAAAAATGGTGGGGTACATCTAGAGTCTGTGTGATAGACAATTGCCATTTAAGCTAAATGGGTAATTTTATAATGAGGGTTGGGTCACAGGCATTAATCTAACAAGGGGTTGTAAAATAAAAATGGGATTAATTTCTAATCAAGATGGGTTGTAAAATAAAAATGAAGCCTTTGGAGGATAGGTAGCTGAGCTTGCCTACACAAAAGAGGGGTTGAAAGCACGGTTGTATTATATGTACCCATTCTTTAATCACAAAGTTATAAAAAAAGATTGTTACAGATAGAAAAACCTTCTTTACCTTGGCCTTGTGGGAAGCATGTATAAGATCATCTCTAAGGTTTTGGCTGAGAGGATAAAAAAGTCCTTCCCTCTTTGATCTCTCCAAACCAAAAGAAGAGGAGAAAGGAAAAAAGGGTTGGTGTGCAAATTGGATTTGGAAAAGGCCTATGATTGGGTGGATTGGGACTTTTAGCTAGAAGGTTTAAGGTTGAGAGGTTTTGGAGTGAAATGGTGTAAATGGATAAAGGGTTGTATTTCCTTCTCTCATTATTCCATTGTAGTCAATGGAGTAGCTAGAGATTTCTTTACAGCTAGAAGGGGCCTTCGACAAGGTGATCCTCTCTCCCCTCTCCTCTTTACTATAGTCATAGATGTGTTGAGTGATTTGATCCCAAGGGCTGATGTTACAAATCTGATAAAAGGTTGGAAAGTTGGAAGGGAAGAGGTGGTGGTTACACATTTACAATTTGCAGATGATATTGTTATATTCTGTGAAGGGGAAAGGGAGCTGCGTAGTGGGATTAAATAAAGAGCGAGAGTCGAGAAGAGGTAGAAAACCTTGCTAGGTTGTTGGGGTGTGAGGTAGGGGACTGGTCGATATTGTACTTGGGACTACCTTTGGGGGGGACCCAAATTCCGATAGCTTTTGGTATCCAGTAGTGGAAAGATTCACAAAAAGGTTGGTAGTGTGGAAAGGAATTACATCTCTTTAGAGGGAAGAATAACACTAATAAAGTCAACTTTGACTAATCTGCTAGTGTACTATTTATCTACCTTTAAGATCCCTACTAAAGTAGCCAACCAACTAGAGAAATTAACGAGGGACTTCTTCTGGGAGCCAGGGGACACAAAGAAGGATCGCCTAGTGAAGTGGGAGATAGTGTCCAAATGTAGGGATAGTGGGGGTTTGGGGATAGGGAATATTAAACTAAGGAACGTAGCACTGTTGGGAAAATGGTTGTGGTGATTCCCCCTGGAATAAGATAATCTGTGGCATAAGGTGATTGTGAGTATTCATGACATGGAAGATAATGGGTGGGATGCTGGTCTTGACCTTAGGGCATCTTGGTCTTCTCCTTGGAAAGCGATCCATGGTTTATTGCCTTCCTTTCTTCCGTATATCAGGTATGGTGCTTGTGTAGGCAATGAAGTGTGGTTTTGGGAAGATGTTTGGTTTGGGGATTCCTCTCTTAAAGATAGATTTCTGTATATACCTGGGTCATTCCTGTTTGGACAACAAAATTTGGTCGGTGTCATCCTTTGGCTACTTTACATTTGCTTCTTTGTTCACTGCCCTCCTTCAGTCTTCTAACATTGCATGTTCTTTTCCCTTAAAAAAAGTTTGGTGTAACCCAGTACCCTAAAAATAAGGGCTTTTTGTTGGGGGGTAGTACTCCAGAAAATCAACACTCTGGATAAACTACAAAAAAGAAGACCAAATTGCTGCCTTTCCCCTCATGTTTGTTGTCTTTGTTTGGGCTGTGGGGAGACAATTACACATCTTTTATTGTCTTGTCCTTTTGCTTCTTTTGTGTGGAATTGGTTTTCCTCTTTGTTTGGCTGTAGGTGGACCCCTCCTTCTGACGTGGCAAGCCTTTTCAAACCAAGCTTCTTTAGACTACCTAAGAAAAGAGGTAGGATGATGAGAGCCATGAGAGCTGCTATCCTTTGGTCATTATGGGAGGAGAGAAATAACAGAAATTTCCAAGAGAAAAAAAGATCCAAGGAACAAGTCATTGATAACATACTTATTAAAGTCATACATTGGCTGAAATCAACTGAATCGTTCAAGGATTATTCAGTGGAGGACATTTTTAGAGGCCGGTCGCCAGTGGCAAACATTTCTACTGATAAGGATGTGGCTTAGCCTCAATGGTTACCAGCAGCACACCAAAGGATAAAATTGAACTTTGATGGAAGAAGTTCTTTGGGCAATCCGGGACCCTCGGGAGTTGGGGGAATATTCAGAAACGGGGAGGGCAGGCTAATAGCACTGTATTCTGGCCCAATAGGTATTGGCGATTATTTAAGAGCTGAAATTATGGCCCTACTTCAAGGTCTGAGGCTGGCCAAGCAATGGGGTTTCCAAAATTATGAAGTGGAGGGAGATTCTAAGCTGTTAATTGGATAGCTGCAGGCCAAAAGTCTGGGGGAATGGACTTTTAGACAGCAGATGAGGGAGATTTATTGTTTAGCAAGGGAAGCTGGAGTTATCTTTATTTGGATAAGGAGGTCAGCCAATAGTGTGGCCGATACTTTGGCAAAGCAGGGGACTCAAAGGGAAAATCCTTTTTGGGCTGTACTGTAAATCTTGGGATAAAATATGGGGTCAACACTCATGCTGAGAGTGTTTGGCATTGTATGTTTCTCAATGAAAGTTACCGTTTCCAATAAATAAAAACCTTCTTTACCTCTCCTTAATCTCCTTTTTTTTTATGCATCTTTGATGATTTAGATCTGATTTCTTAGCTTTTTTAGCATTGTTATATCTCCATAAATTTCTTTTCTCCCCATTTCTACTTGCTTGCTATGCCTTGTAGCAATATCTCCTTATTCTTATAGTTTGTTGAACTTAATGTTTTTACTTTTCAATTCTCTAAGGATTTCTTTAGTCACTTTCTTAATACAATTTGTTATCTGAAACCACATATCATTAATTTCTTCCTTTGCTTCCTATTTTCCATCAGGTTTTAAGTTATCCTTTAATCATGTTATTGTTCTCCCTAAAAACAATAAAACTTCTCCTTTAAAACAATAAAGCACAATATAAATATTTCTCAACCTAATGGAATAATACTTAAGTAACCAAAACTAGTGATTGGAGTAATATATACAATTCAAGACCTAACTAGATTAAAGAAAAAAGGAAAGAATAGAAAAAAAAAAAGAAAACTCGAACCTAATTCAAATAACTAAAGTAAAAATCTATCTTTCCAATAATTTTAGGATTAAGCCTGTAGACATGTTTTTATAAAGAAACTGAGTTCTAAGTAAGTTGACAAATCTTAGCTGTCCTGAATTTTGAATCCATAAAAACTTGGTTAATTCACTGTTGTGATTGGATATGGGCTGTTTTTGTCTAAAATTATAGCTGGTTTTTAGGTAAAAAGGTCTTAATGGTGGTGCTTTGTTAGTTGCTGCTATTGTTTCAACTGTTGTTCTGTTTGTTGGTGGGCAGAAAGGGTTGCTAAGTTAGCTTTTGGTCCATTTCTTGACCTGCTGTTTAGACTAGGTTGCTGTTAGACTTTGGTGGCTGTTTCCTTTTTGTATAGATATGATATTTGCCTTAGGCTTCTGCATCATGGGTATCAACTGACTGAGTAATGATTCCTTTAGTGTGACCCTCAACCAACTGGTTGTAACTAGTTGATACTTTTATAACACTGCAATTAACATTAGGATTTACTTCTTTTACGTGTGGTTTTCTTTCGCCTGTCATTACTTTTGGGCTTATATTGTTTTATATGAAGGATGTATTTGTTAAACCTCTAATGTTTCTCCTTATTTTGATTTTCAGGGTTCTACTCTTGATAACATTGATGAATGGAAGTGGAAGCTAACCGTGCTTCTGCGCAATAAAGATGAGCAAGAATTGGTATCAAGAGAGAAAAAGGACCGACGGGATTTTGAGCACCTTTCAGCATTGGCTACTAGAATGGGTTTACATTGGTATGCCAAACTTTCTAGTCCCAACTACTTGTCTTGCATTTTTGTCTATACAATGTCTTGGATCTTGAAATTAATTTAATTTTGGCAGTCGTCAATATGAAAAAGTGGTCGTCTTTAGTAAGGTTCCACTGCCGAACTACAGATCTGATTTGGATAACAAGCGTCCACAGAGGGAGGTATTATTCTAATTACTTGGTACTTTTGTTGACAGTAATACAAGAAATTTCATTATAAAAAGAATCGTGCAAGGGTAAGCAAAGAGCTTTCATCACAACTGCAGCAGAAAATAGAACATTGCAACTTAATTCATAAAAGCAACTTAAGATACAATGGTTTATTTCTTTCCAAATACCTCAACGTATTGCAAACATAATTAAGGCTCCATAAGATTTTTACTCTTCTGCCTCCTGGAAATACAGGCCACTTTTGAAAAATTTTGTTTGGAGCCTTTGGTTCTTGAAAGGAGAAAAGAAGCAGCCTTGCAATGAATAAATACTTCACGAAATATTCTTCAAATCTTATGCATACTTGCATAGTAGCATAAACTGGTCATCTGAAAGCCACAGCAACCATAGGTGGAACTGGAGTGCTCCATACCACTTTCAAAAAAAAAAAAAGCTCCATTTAGTTCCTGATAACTGTACCATAAAAGGACTTTAAAGAAAACTTTCCATCTGTACATATTTTCCACTGACTAGCATCTCATGTGCCTGGGTCAATTTCAGATGTTTCCAGCATGCTCAGAAAAGAGATGTACTCCTTTAACTCCCTATCTTTTTTGATGGTAAAAAGAAAGAAATTTTATTAAAGATAAAATAAAAAAGGTACAATGTTAAAAGGGATACTATACAATCTAATAACCTCTTCTTCTTTTGAAGCACTGATTAACAGTAATGCCCTCAAAACTTAAATGATAGTCAAGGCAAAGATCACAAAGCTTCTGTTCCCTACTTTACTCATTTTCCTAGTTCTTAACTCTAGACCTTTTCCCACTAGAAATTTATATTGTATACCCTGCAAACTCTTGAAATTTCATTGTTCTCTTCCACACACAAACCCCATGAAATGACAAATCTCCCTAGTATCCCAATCAAATCTTGCTACACCATATTTGCATATGGCAACCCTTCTCCATATAGCTTTTCTTTCTAACCCACAGCCTTGTTACCACCTTTAGTCATTTTCCTTATCCCTTAAGAAGTCTCTTTGAAACACCATACTTGATAAGGGTCTTTTAATTAGAGATTAGAGTAATGTGATGTCTAATCAAATAGCTAAATATCTATATTCCATCTTTCCAACATAGCTAGTTGTGATATAGAAGCAAAGCCTTTGTTCAAGCAAATCGTGCAGATCTCTCCAGCTCAAATCAAAGACTCTTCTGTTGATCGGTAACAATAGATTTTGTTAATGCGTGAAAAAATGATACATGCACTCACACACACTCACACATCAAGCACCCCTTGGTAGCTAACCACATACCAATCAAACAATTTTTCCTTGATTAACACTAAGACCAGAAAATCCTCCAAAATTTTTTAAAATTGTCCAAGCCTTTTCTGTTGATGTCTTAAGAAAAACTGTAATATCATAAGCATATTTTAAATGAGAAATAATTGGATAAATGGACCAGCTTTAAATATTTCAGTAGGTCCCAGATCCTCTCCAAATCTTATCATTTTACCAAGAACCTCAATAACTAAAGCAAATAATAAAGGGGAAACAGTATCACCTTGACAAGTGCCTCTAGATGCTTGAAAAACCTTATCCAAACCCATGTACCAATAGGGGTGCAACTTGGGTACCTGAAACCAAGTTGAAGGCTTTAAACTGCGGTGGACCCAGACCTTTGGTCCATACCCATTCAAGATTAAACAAAAACCCAACCCAAGTCTGCCCAAGTTGCACCTCTATTTACCAACAGGGAAAATGAAGCCAATGAGACACAATGCCCAATTACTTGTTTTTTTCAAATTCCATGGAATGTAAGGCTTGCTAAAGAAATCTCCATTCAACATGATCATATACCCTCTCAAGATCAATATTACATACATATCAGCCCTTGCTTCCGTCTTCTCAACCTCAAATCAACACAGTTCTGCTATCAAATCCCTCTCTAGAGAGTTTGTCTTCCTTCCACAAATGCTATTTGTTTTGAACTCACAATATTATGAAGCAGTCCTTTCTACTTATGATACAACACTTTTGGAATGATTTTATAGACACTTAAAGGGTGACTGATTGGATGAAATTCTTTCAACTCCAAAGCACCTTACTACTTTGGCAATTACATCCCTTTCCAGCTCCCATTGTAATTTTTCTCTTTCTCTCTCTCTCATTTACTAAGCAATGACATCATTATTTAATATTTTTGCAGTAACATTGTACTCTCTCTTTCTCTATTATTCTTCTTTGAAATATCTTTTTTCTTAATTTCAAGTTAGGTCATGGTTGCTTTTATGGTTTTCAAAGTAAAACTTTCTTGTTTTTTAAATCTAGAAACTGTTATTATGTCTTTGACATTCTCATAAATTGACAGGTGGTGATACCATTTGGTTTGCAAAGAAGAGTGGATGTTCATCTTAGAGAGCACCTTTACCGGAAACATAAGAATAAGGGTACTTTTTCAGATGTTGCCTTTTCAAGATCAAGCAGCAGTGGCAGTATTGCTACAGATGAAGGGCTTTTTGAGCAACATGAGCCCCTTGCACCAACTAGTGTTGTCATGGAGAAAATCCTTAGGCGGAGAAGTTTGCAACTGCGTAATCAGCAACAAGCTTGGCAGGTTTGTTTTACCCTGAGTCCTGACAAATTTCAAAGAGTGCCATCTTGTTTGTAATTAAATGAACCTGTCATGTATTTCTTTATTTTTTTGGACTTAGTTTACTGTAAGGTAGTCTCTTTTATTTGGTGGGTTGCACTTAATCAATGCAGAGTGTATTATGGAGTCAAGTTTTTCAGTTCAACTGTACTGAAGAAGAACCTTTTTTTTTTCATATTTTCCTACTGAAATTTGTTTATATTTTACTTCGAAAATATCATTGACATACTTTATGTACACATTTTGTTTTTTCTTTTTTGGACAGAAATAATTATCAGACATCTTCCCTGGGTTGCTTATGATTTATTATTATTCTATCCAATATTTGTTCCTCTTCCTTATAGTATTTTTCTTTTCTACCGGAAATGTCAATCTCTTTTGATTCCTTTTCCCTAGAGCTGGATGTAATTTCCTGTAATTACTTCGATATGTCTTCCTCTTAAAATCTTCTTTGTAGAATTGATCCTTCTGACATTTTTACCTTCTTGTGATGCTTGCTCCTAGTAAATGGTATATATAATATATTATATATATATTATGTCTCCTTTATTTGTCACCTTGGTTAATTTAGAGCTTGTGTTACTTTTCACCGCTTAAGTGACAATAGCGTAGGAGGAAATTAATGAGTGGTTGGGTTCCTTACTTTATATTTTCAATTATCAATCTTTCCTTTCCCCCCTCTGTGTATTGGTTGTCAACCTTTCTTCTTGTTTATAACCATGGTTCCACTATTTTAGTAAATTGCTATTTTCTTTTTCTTTTCCTTTAATCAACACTGTATCTGCTCATTACATTGTTGTTTGCTTGTGTGTGTGTGTGTGTTTAATTTAATGGCTGCAGGTGTTATTTGAGTTCTATATAATATTCATGACTTTGTCCTATTAGTTTTCTAATTTTCTTTTTCTTGATTGGTTATGCTAAACTTTATTGATACATGGAAAATAATGGATTAGAGTACAAAGTGTGCCAAAAACCTCTCTTAGCTTAGGTTAACACCAGCTACCTAATCCACGATCAAGAAGTAATCAATTACATACATCCTCCAAAATAACATTCTTCTATTAACCCCTTGCCTTGCTAGTGCAACATCAAAGCTATTGACTGATCTATGGACCCATGTGAATATTGCTGTCATTCCATGGCTAACTGTCTTGTTTGTCTCACTGTGTGTTAATGCCACTAGCCATTGTTGTTATTTTTAAACCAACTAGCTACTTCCTTTGAGTCCCCTTCCACAAAGAGAATTTTTTYCCAATCTCAAACCTTGTAAGACGATCAATAGTTCTTCTCTTGTGGAATTTCCATGGACAATAGGACCTGAGGATATAGCCATTATGTTTCCTGGCTGTTTCTAAAAGTCAACCTTACCTAAACAGCACCCATCAAAGTTTACCTAGACAGCCAATATTTTCTAATTTTCTTTATATACTATAGTTGTAACTTATAAAATAAAAACCTTTTTTTTTTGACACCTAATTTTGTGCAGGAATCTCCGGAAGGTCAAAAGATGCAAGAATTTCGTAGAAGTCTTCCTGCTTACAAAGAAAGAGATGCATTATTGAATGACATTTCACAAAATCAGGTTAGTCATTATGTTAATGGTATGATTCAGACATGAAAACATGGAAAGAATCCATGGAGAAGATCAGTTTTCTAAAAAGGGCAGCCCAGTGCACGAGGCTCCCGCCAATGCGGGGTCTGGGAGGGATCGATGTACGCAGCCTTACCCCTGCATATGCAAAGAGGCTGTTTCCAAGATTTAAACCCTGGTCACCCAGGTTGCAGTGCAACCCAACTGTTACGCCAAGGCCCACCCTCATCAGTTTTCTATGTTAAAGAAAATGCAAATTGGTTATTTGTCTGTACAAATTATATGTGCAAATGCTATTTGTATATTGACAATGCAAATAACTTTAATGTATACACACTAAGAACATTTTTCTTTTCAATTTCAATATGCTGCTCTCAGTGGTCACCATTAATAATGATTATGACACTTGCCATGCCACCAGCAGTAAGTGCTATATTGAAGTTTCCTTGCCAGTTGCCAGAGCCATTTTATGACACTGTGGCACTGCAACAGGGCAATGGCTCAATTTGGTGCAATGGGCAACACTAACAAATAACAATACTGGGTGGATGTGGATTCAAAATAGGGTAAAGTAACTTTCTTATATATATGTAAGTTTTTGGCATTATGTATTTTTAATTTCATGACATTTTCTAAACAGCAGAAGCAATATTACAACTTTCAATACTATTTTTTTTTGATAATTCGACTTTCAGTATTATTAATGATTTAATTTGGTTCAACCTTCTCTACTATTTATGTTGTGACTACATTTTATCAAAAAATGGTACGATTACAACTTTCAGAACATTTTGTATATAACAGATTCTATTTTTTTAGGTTTTGAGTGTGTGATTGTACATATTTTAACATTTACTTAAGTTTTATAAGTTTCATATTCTTTCTAATATTTTTTTTAATATTTAACAAATTTCCTAATATTTTCCGAATATCTGATTGAAATTTAGGAAAAGTTTCTGTAATACCCCCATATGTGAGATGACAAAGCTGAAACCTCAACCGTGCTCCCTACTTAATGGCATATTCACTAAAAGTAAAAATAATAAACGATTCAGTTCAGGCATTCAGCCATTATTTAGTGGCCCCTTAGTCAGAAAATTTCAAGTTGACCTTACTTTTATTAGAAGAAAAAGGGAGTATACAATCCTTAGGGGCACTTTGATAACAGCTGAAGTGGATGAAACTGAATGACTTATTGGTTTGCCTTTTGGCAGATACAATAATAAATATATTCAGGGGTATAGTAATCAACCCAATTTCTGCTAAATAACTTATTCTTGAAGGGATTCACAACCTTAGGTGTCGTATGTTTGGCATGTAATTTCATTTAAACTGATGCATAAGTATGGGAGTGCAAATGGTTTCATGCAAATTTTGATTATGGGAGTGCAAAGGGTTCACACCTGCAGGGCCAGAAAAGAGTAAGTTTACCTTCTCCATCTCTCAAGACCCCTCCTATTCCAGAAGGGCCTGGATTACCTTGGTTACTCCCATCAAAGTTCGGTTTAACAAAACCTTCAATTGGTGGTACCCAAACAACCTCCAAATATCATCAAAAGACTCTAAGGTCTTGGTCCAATGGATCACCCTAATCATCACACAATTCCTGATTTCTTCCTTACTTCTCTCGTTCTCTGTGAAGATTCTTGCATTCCTTTCTTCCCAGATGGTCCAAATCAAGGCTGCTCTGACACATCTCCACATTATCCTTCCCCTCTTTTTTGGCCAAGTAAGCAAAGAAGGATCAAATAGCATAGCTGCATATTAACCTCCATTGGTAAAGTCCACCTGCACCCAAGCAAAGAGAAAAACCAAAGCCAAATAGCTGCAAATGAAATTGCATTGCAAACAAAAAAAGTTAATAATTTATTGACTAAGTCATTCAGTTCAGCCATTTCAGATGTTGTCAAATGGCCCCTTAAGCCCAATAAAGGAGTAAAAAGAATAAAAGAGAAAAACAGGAGGAAATTATGTTCCTTCTGTCTGTCATGGGAACAAACATGATAAAAAAAGCAAATATATGAGAATTTTCTTTCCCCTGGTGTAGACCTGTTCATGGGCCGGGCTCGGGTTTGGCTTTTGCCAAAATTTGAATGGGCCCGGCCCGAAGCCCAAGCCCGATACAGTGTAAAGTCAGGCCCGAAGCCCAGCCCATGGACGGGTCTAACCTGGTGACACTTGAAGATTTATAATTGATATATCATTAAACTTAGTGATAGGAATAATAGAGGCAAGAATAGAAATAAGATCAAGACTCAAATAAGTATGACTCGGATTCTGTACAAAACAAGTACACCAAGACTTAAGGGTAAAATATGGAAATGAAATTCAGCTGGGTTAAAAGGACTGCTAATGCTTTTGCTGATGCTCTAGTGAAACAAGGGGTGGGAAGAAATCAAATGTTTTGGGCAGAATTGTAACCTGTACTATAAAATTAATTCCGGTGAGGAGAGGTAAGAAAGGTTACCTCTCTTCTGCTGTGTAATTCTTCTTTAATTTTAATGAAATCATTTTTTTTTTCTGAGGAAAGGTAAAGTATAATTGAATTAAAGCAAAAGGTCCTTTGTACAATGAGAAGTTGTACAAAAAGCTGTCAAAATAAAAAAGATTCTTAAGGGTAGACCAAGAGAGGGTCACGAGGACAAGAAGGTGATGTGGGGATTGATATTGAAGCACCTTGGATGCCAATCAATTTATCAAATAAACTGCAGTTTGAACTGCATCTCCCCCAAAACTATCAGACATTCATATGAAATAGTAGGCCTCTGGAAACTTCCACCATGCATTGGTTCTTCCTTTCTACCACTTTCCATTTTTTTGAGAAAAAGGTGAGGTATTGTTTTCATTAATTTAAATCATGTACAAGTATAGCCATGTACACTGAGTCACTATTTGGAAGTGTTAGCATTGCCATAGTGGCCTGCACTACATTACAAAATCAATGATGCGAGCTCAAAAAAACTATGATGGGGTGTATTACAAAATAGTTCTGTTGCAGCCAGTCAAGAGTGAACAGTTCCCAACACTTTCTTGATCACTTCTACTGTGAAATTTCGATTCAAAACTCCTTCGGTTTCTTTCTTTCCAGATACCCCATGAAATAGCTACTGGGATGATACTCCACAGCAATTTCTCTTTTCTGCTGAGGGATAATACTTTCAGATTGCAAGGGTACACCTCTCCTAAGTAAGTAGGTTGTCCCTGTTTAGGCATTTGTCTAGTAACCAGACTGATGACTGAGGGAAACTTGAGTTCTCAACATTGCAATTCTGCTTGTAGAAGGATTTAATGGAGAAGTTGCCCAGCTTCTTCCATCTCCAACACCTTGAGTCCGTCTGGTCTGGTTCCGGGCAGCTGCTACTGGATTAGAGTAAGTGGTGTTTTAGAATTAGGTTCTGAGCTGAGATGCTTTTAGTTGGCATTTATGTGTAGCAACAATTATTTACAAGATAGTTTGGTCAAAAGTCCATGTGAAATCCACCAATTACCATAGATCAGTTTCAGACTTTCAGCTTTCCAATGTGGTAACTTGTGTCTCAATTTAGGCATGTTGCCGTGCTCTATGAGGCACATGATATTTCTTCTTTTAAAATTTACTCAACTTGATTCAAGAAAGCATCCTAACCACATGGGGTGAACTGCATGAATATTTTCTGCCTTCCCAGCCTATCTAGCGTTTACTGTTGATTTCATATCACTTGTGGTTGATTCGTACACACACACACTGCCTACTTGTGTTCTTTTTTCCTTTCCACTAGATGATTTTGTACATGTAATGATAGGTGGAATCCTTATGATGATTTACAGGTTGTGATCATCTCAGGTGAAACTGGTTGTGGTAAGACCACACAACTTCCTCAATACATTTTAGAATCTGAGATAGACGCTGCCCGTGGAGCTGTATGTAGTATTATATGTACTCAACCTAGACGAATATCTGCCATGTCTGTTTCTGAAAGAGTTGCAGCAGAGAGAGGAGAGAAATTGGGTGAATCTGTGGGTTTCTGCTCTCATTGATTATTAGAGTGTTTGATAAATATTTCTATTTTTCGGACACTTTCAGCATTCACATATTGAAGAAAGAACTTATATCTTCATTTTTCTCTTATGGAAGGTTGGTTATAAAGTTCGGCTAGAGGGTATGAAGGGGAGGGACACACGTCTTCTTTTCTGTACTACAGGCATCCTGCTGAGGAGGTTACTCGTTGATAGAAATTTGAAAGGTGTAACTCATGTTATTGTGGATGAGATTCATGAGCGTGGGATGAATGAAGGTATTCATGGCTTTAATTCATGTTATGTTTCTTGGATATTTGGATGTGAGTTCTGACAGTGGTTTGCATTAATGCCAGATTTCCTGCTTATTGTCCTAAAAGACCTCCTTCCTCGTCGGCCAGATTTGAGATTGATTTTGATGAGTGCAACTCTAAATGCAGACCTTTTCTCTTCCTACTTTGGAGGAGCTCCAGTGCTACATATTCCAGTAAGTCTGAGATGCTAAAGATAAGCATCATTTATATGTACAAAAGCAATCAATTGCACATTTTCATAATTAACCTTACTAATAAATTATTATATAGGTTTTTACCTTTTTGGTTGTCTGAATAATTATTGGCAGTTGTGTTTGATACTTTGATAGGTACAGTTTTAGTGCATATGATGTGTGCATTTTATTCTGTCAAATTATTAGCTTATGGATGTGTTTGCTTTTCTATATTGTCATTCTTTTTATCTTTTAAGGTTTATTTCAGTTAGCCTGTACCTTTTATCAGGTTTTTACTGATGAAGCAAATCCCATTTAATTAGTTATTGATGCTTGTTTGTGCCTTTTTATTTCACATGTTCAATTTTAGTGCCTCAGTTTTGTTCTACAATACTTGCATGCAAATCCCATATATGCATATTTGTTGATGACTTGGTGCTCACATTAATGACTGGAGGCAATTCCTTTTTGCTTTCTTTGAATTAATTTTTATAGCTTTCCTCCCTGTGTCTACCATCCTTTTTCTTGCCTATTATTGTGTTTATTTTGCATTTTCCCCATTCTAATTTTATGGAAAGCATTTGGTGTATCAAATCCTGCAAAATTTTTGTTTTATTTTAAGATATAACAAGCTGAGAAGTGTTGATATGCTGGTACATGGCACAAGTGCCAGATATTCAGATGTCCATAGCTTTCCAACACGTAAAAAGGCCATTATCCAATGTTGGTCTTAGCTGTTTGACCCATCAACCTCAAAATTTGGTTACTAGGACATGGTAATAAATAATGTTTAATTACATAATCTAAAATATTGTAAAAATAATAGAATTAAAGTCTGGACTCTTTGTTCTTGTGATACCTTTTTTCGTGTGTTCTAAGTGCCAAGATTTTTATGTTGATTTGAGAATTAGAGCATCTCTAAGATGCTACAAGAAGTGTATACCAAGTGCCAAGTGTTGTCACAGTGTCACGGGCCTAACAAATGTGGAGATTGAAGGGGACTCAAAATTGGTGATAGGATGGCTGAACGATCCAGAGTCTATGATATGGTGTTTTAGGGATGGAATGAAAAAGTCTAAATGGATAACCAGGAACATAAACTTGACAATTTCTTGGGTTAGGAGAACAACTAATGCTATGGCTGATGGGTTAGCTAAACAAGGGGTAATAGGGATAATTTGTATTGGGCTCATTTGTACTTGTTTACTCATCTAACATATATATATGTGTGTGTGTTTGGGGGGGGGATCAGACTGGATTTTGTTCAGGTTGCATAGGGTTTCAGCCTATGCAAAACTCAGGTTTGGGCCGTATGGCTCGTCCAAGGTGATCTCTAAAAGTGGTTTATTTAGAGATGCTTCATGAGAAGTTTCTTTATTACTTGCTCAACATTTTGGCTGAACAAAGGGTTTCAGTCTTTAATTAAGGATCCAATCTTGAGTTAAGGCTTATGGTTAAAAGAAGAAGAAAGCAAGTGTTCAAAGAAAGTATCAATATATAAAAAAACAAAGTATAAGGAAAGGTTCAAAGGATTTGGTGGGAGTGTCAGTGGTGTATCATGATCTTCCATTTTGACCGAAGGATTTTATTGTTTGGATTATGCCTATTTGTTTCAATTTGGAAAGACATTAAAATTTAGAAATTGTGGATGAAACTTCTTGGAGTTCATATCAATGGAAAGAGAATGAATGTTTTTCTGTTTTTGTTTTTTTTTTGTTTTTTTGTTTTTCCGTTTTTGATAAGTACCGTAGACTTTTATCAATAAGAAGCAAAAGTGTACAAGATGTACATCCATACATTACAAAAGGTAGTCAATGCTACCTTTGCCCTTATCACATAATTACATCTTATCCCAAAACAAATAACTTTTGCTCCACCCCTTGTTTTGCTAATGCATCATCCATGGTGTTAGATGATTTCTGTAGTCTGTATCCATTGAATTCTGACTTGGATGCTTCTACTCAACCATCTAAACTTTTTAATTTTATTCCGGTAACTCCACATTGCTCCCTCCTCATTCAACAGCCACCCTATCACCACCTTTGGATGACCCTCATTCAACAGCCACCCTATCACATATTTGATGAACTCTGATCACTTATGCCATTTTAAAAAGCTTCCAGTGTGAAGATAGAGGGGAATAAATTGTTTTGATTTTCTTTGTTTGATCTTCATGGTTTGTCTGTAGCCTGTATTTGTTAGCAATTATTTAGCTTACGCTTTTGTGAAGTTTTTTTTTTTTTTGTTTTTAAACTAACCATTAGTTTTTTTGGTATTCTTAAGCATTTATTTTAATTTGTTGTTTTATTGTACCTTGAATTTATATCTGTAACATTTATGGTTTTATTTTTTTTCAGGGATTTACCTATCCAGTACGAACTCATTTTCTAGAGAATGTTCTAGAAATGACTGGGTACAGGTTAACACAGTACAACCAAATTGATGATTATGGTCATGATAAGGCATGGAAAATGCAAAAACAAGCTCTCAGAAAGAGGAAGAGCCAAATTGCTTCTGTTGTTGAGGTATATTGATTGAAGTGACCTGCAATTTCTTTGTTGGTGTTGCTTCATTCTTTCGTTCCATCTTCTTCTTTTTGATTAATTTAAACTTGTAACAGGATGCCCTTGAAGCTGCTGATTTTAGGGAGTACAGCCTACAGACAAGGGAGTCTTTGCACTGTTGGAATCCTGATTCTTTAGGTTTTAACCTTATAGAACATGTTCTTTGCCATATATGTAGAAAAGAAAGGCCTGGTGCCGTCTTGGTATTTATGACTGGTTGGGATGACATAAATGCTCTGAAGGAGCAACTTCAGGCTCATCCTCTTTTGGGAGACCCAAGTAGAGTTCAGTTGCTTGCATGCCATGGTTCAATGGCAAGCACAGAGCAGGTGATCACATATTGTTCCCTCACTGTAGTACATGATTTAACTTCATATCACTGTATTTATTCTATTGCATAAGTTGGATTTTTTTTTCAAAAGATATTATAACTTTTTTAAACATCAAACCATCTTTATTTATGGGAAGTTTCAAATTGCATATGCTAATGATCCTTCTTTGGAGGGTCACATGCCATTTACTTAGCTCAAACCATAGGTGCCTTGTCCATATTGGTTGGCTATTTTCTCTCTCTCTCTCTCTCTCTTTTTTTTTTCAATTTGTTTCAGTGTCTATAGATGCAATGTAATATCTCTATGGTGCATGCACTATCAGGTTGGCTTTATACAGTAACTGTACAGGACCCTTCCCCTATACACATTGACTAGTATGTGAAAATATGTCCCAACAGAACATATCCAGATGGCTGACATTCTGCAGTTCCCTTTCTCAATTGTTAAATAGCTTTGTCTCTCCTGCTCCTACTTTCATCTGTTTTCCTTGCATAAAGCTGCTATGAAAATTTCCCAGACCCCTCCAAATCAAGCAGCTAATAGGGCCCATCACCTATCCCTGTGTCCCAGTTGAAGTTCCTTTTTCCAAATTCCTCTGCAATAATCTGCCTCCAGAGACTTTGGGGTTAAGTGCTGAATCTCCAAAATCACTTCCCAATCAAGGCTGAATTCATTAGCCTCAAATTTTTAATTCCAAGGGCCCCGACAGCCATAGGTTTACAAACGTGTGCCAATCCACTTTTTTTGAAGAGTAAAGAAGAAATTTATTAAAATAAAAAGAAAAGTACAATCTGCATGGGTGTCAAGATGACACACCACACCAATCCACTAAATGAATTTTCTTCTCCTTCAAACCTCTCTACAAGAATTTCCTTTGAATCCTTTCCAATCCTTGTAACACCAGCTGAGAAAAGGGAATAAAAGCAAGAAATATATGGGTAATTGAGATCAAGTTTTTTTCAGCAAGGTAGTCTTTGGCTCTTTGCCTTCATGGAAAGATATTTGGCTTCTAACTTTCTACACATATGCTCCAATACTGAATCCCATATGGCTTTAGCTGTGCATTTTGTTCCAAGTGGTAATCCCATGTATGTGGTCGGAGTTCCCGACCTTGCAATTAAGTGGTAATCCCATATAATTTTAGCTTTAGCTGGAGTAATCTCACTCTTACATAAATTCACCTTCAACCCTGAGAACGCCTCAAACCATTGCAGCACGAGTCTGAGATGTAGCAGCTGACTTGGCTCAGCTGAAATGAAGAATAGAGGGTCATCTGCATATTGTAATGGTTCCCCTATTCTCCCTGAGCTGCTGAGTTTTAAATCTTCCAAGGAACTGGAACCCTTATCAACTGCTCTATTTGTCAACTGGGACAGGGCCTCCATCGCCTTGGTGACTTGTCAGCAAATCTTCTGTTTTTTCTTCAACATTTACATTAAAAGTTTACTTGTTTTCTTTCTTTGTTTCTTTTTGATCAGCAACTGTTAAACTTTATTGGACGATGAAAGAATGGTTTATGTACAAACATGTTAAACATCCCTTTATAGTTTGACATATGCCACCTAACACGTACTTTAACTTTTTACATCTCATTCTCCACCAGTCCCCAAAATAACTGTTCCCTATTTACCCCTTGTTTGGGTGGTACATCTGCCAAGGTGTTTACTGACCTGTTCATCCTCAAGAAGTTTGGTTCTATTTCTCTCACCAAAGTCCTTTATCTCCTTGATGGTGTTCTGATAGTACCGTTCTGCTTGTACCCTGATACTAGGTTTTTCTTTTCCCTTTAGCCAGTCCACAACGACTCTTGCTCCTTCCACTAATAGTTATCTCAAGTTTAGAGATCTTGGTAGCTGCAGTACTTGTACTACACCAGCAACTCAGCTCTTGTAGAGTTCCCAAAACCTATAGGCCCTGAGTTAATGGCTAATATGGAACCAAAACTGTCTCCAAGAAACCACCAATTGCAAATTTCTAACAATTTTGTCCTTATAGGATGGTTCAAAAGCCTTCAAACTTTTGATCCAATGCATTATCTTTTGGCTGTTCTTCCAGTTGGAGATGGAGCATATTTGTATTGGTATGAAAATTTTAATAAATTCTCATGCAACATAATTCACTTAATCAAGTGATTGAGTTTTTATTATTTTGGGTAAGGCCCATTCAGGGAATCATACGGATTGTTCCCCTTAATTACATCTCCACAAGAAAGTAGATAACACCTTTTGATTCTGACTTGGAGAAATGAATGCATAGAACAAAAGAAAAGAACAATAGGGTACTTAAAAAGAACTTTTCATTTGCGTTTCTTTTACATCAAGTGTACAAGAATGAGAAAGAAAAAGAAAATAGAATGAGAAACTATACATCAATACATTTCTCTCTTTTCTTTTTGATACAAAGAAAATTTCCTTCTCACTTCTTTCTTCACAATAAGCTGTAGTCAATCAGATAAAATTCTGACTGTAGTGTGGTTATCTGTTGTGTTTTGTTTGCATTATGCTTTTCTTTTATGTCAATTGTGCATATGCTTGATTAGTTTTCGCTAACCATATATTGCTTGATATTCCTTTACATTGTGGTTGACTTGTTTGATTTGCATCCAGAGGTTAATATTTGAAAATCCTGAAGATGGTGTTAGGAAAATAGTACTTGCAACCAATATGGCTGAAACAAGTATCACCATTAATGATGTGGTATTTGTTGTCGACTGTGGAAAGGCAAAAGAGACATCATATGATGCATTGAATAATACTCCATGTTTGCTTCCTTCTTGGATTTCAAAGGCTGCTGCTCGACAAGTAAGACTCTCTCTCTCTCTCTCTCTCTCTTCCCCCTGTTCTTGTTGATCATTTGCGTCCCTTTCTTTTTCTATTCTTGTTGATCATTTGTGTTGTGATTAACTGTACCTGGCTCTTCTGAAGTTACATATACAATTTATGAGCATATGAAACTGTGTCTAACCTTTGCTCCTTGGTTCTGTCATTTCATCAATGAGTTGTATATTTTGTATAGTTTCTCTTTGTGTATATATTTTTTGATAAATAACTCATTTTATTAATGAAACAAGCTAATACTAGAAGAGGTTGTGTCTATATAGCTAATAAAAATTTTGAGAGATAGCCTCCACTATCTCCCCACTACAAGTTTTTACATTTGAGCCCCAAATAACTATTGCCTATTAAATCCTTATTTAGTCAAAACATCAGTCAAACATCATCTAATAAAAATTTGAGATGTTTGGTCCATTTTCTACTGATGGTATTCTCAGGAACTGGTAACAAAGAATACAAATGTTTTCTTCATTTTCTACTGATGATGTCCTTAGGAACTGGTAACGTGTGGCTCACTCTTCTAAATCTAGATCATCCCCTTCGTTGCATTGGCATCCTCAAGGTCATAATCAGATTAAGTATGACTTTATTGTGTGCAGCATGTCGTACCTGGGAGTATCAGTTATTCGTGGACTTTCCAGAAATGGTTTTGTGGAGATATTATCCATTTACTTAGGCCCTTTAGGCTCTGGGGGCCCCACTATAGCTGAAATGTCCAGAGTCTTGTAGGAACCGAGGTTGAGAAGTTAATGGTGGAACTGGCCTCCAAAGTGGTATTGGGATGACTGAGAAACACCACCGAGAGTTCATGGTAATATAGGAATTCTATGAGGTTAATGAGTTGACTGGAAAAGGACTTTCTAACTACCTATGCATGGTTCACAAGGTCAATAAATTCTGTTTTTTCTTTTCTTTTGATAGTTAAGACCAGAAAATTCTTTGGTTGACACATTGGCTAAATGAGGGCTGAATAGGGTCCAAATGTTTTGGCGATGTTAATAAAGTGTATGCAATAGATCTGTAGAGAACATTGATGTGGGCCCCACAGCTGTGGTCYCACTCTGTCCGTAGGGTAGAATGTATCTAGTCACAGTTGTGGTTWTTTTGCTRTTCTRTTATTTCTAGTTTCAGTTTTATATTGTTTGTTATTTGTTAGCAGTTATGATGTAAACACCAAGGGCAGATATRYCMTTTCATGTAACTAGCATAACCTATATATATTAACTTAAAGTGGCGGCGGCAGAATATTTGACATTCTGTTCTTTTCCTCAAAATCTGTGTTCTACTGCTCTTTCACCACTCTTTCTTCTACTTCTTCTTCACTTTCTCTTCTCATCGAACCTGAAATCTCTTAGTGGTCAAGACTGCATAGCAGTCTCGAAAACCTACATGGTATCAGAGCCAAGTTAGGGTTGAGTCTAATACCAGCCGACCACATGAGAATTCCCTAGGACTGAAAGCTTAAAAGGAGGAGTTCGCAGACTGATTCTTGGAGATCGCCAGAGGTGCTAGTAGTTGTTGGAAACTTGCTAGGGTTGCAGAGTGTTGGTGGTCAGGAAGGATTAGAGAAGACTAGGGTTTAGGTAACCCTAGAAGGCAGCGAACTATTTTTTCCTTATAAGTTGTTTATTTTTTAAGAGAAGTTCTATCAGAGAAGATAGGTTGGACCTATCTGGAGGGGAAGGCTGAACCATTCTAGTTCTTTCTCTCTTCGATTCACTAGGGTTTTACAGCAAACCCTGGCCGAACTGTGTTTCTCTCTACTCTAGGGTTTGAAAGTGATCTGCGGCAAGCCCTAGTGTTTGACTGAACCCTGTGATCTA